CTCTCTCTCTCTCTCTCTCATAAATTATTTCAATTTTATTATTTAATATAATTATGGTTGATTTAGTCTCTATAAGACAATGAAACTGACCTATAAGTCATAGCCTATGACATTTGTTCGAAATTTAACTAGTTAAAAAATTAATTAGTAAAACCTAACCTACCCATAATTAACTCATATTAACTTAAATAATAAAATTCTTATTACCTGTGTTTTTCAAACAAATGTCTGCTACCCAACAGACCATGTTACATATTCACATTATTATACCTTTTTCACAATTCGTACTCAAAATTATAGTATTCGTTGAATTAATTCAAATATTGATATAATGTATACGAGAGAAATAAAGGATTCTAAAAAGCCCTAATATTGTTAATTACAGTCACAGAGACTGAATTACACAGTTTCTATACATTGTAATAGTTTAATTTATAAACAAAATAGATGGTCTCCTCATTGAATGCATTTTCATACAATATATCAATTAAAAAATATTTGCAAAAATTAAATTGAATGATAAAACTCAGCCTATATTCACACATTTTACAAAATTTTCAGTGCAATTAATGGTTTTTTTATATCGTTCTTTAGAACGTCAAACTTCACAAAACAATATGGCCAAGGGGAGGTGCTATTGCAAAGAGAATACTGTGCCTGGTGATTACTGTGGCAACAGAAATGTGGATGCCATAAGAGATCCAAAGACAAAAAAAGAAGTTCGTCCATTAAGAGGGGACTGCAAACCCGAGTATCTCTACCAATGCAAAAAGGGTGTGTCAGATGCCAAAATCGCCCACAAGTGTACCACAGATGTAAACTTTGTCTGTGATGGAAAAAATTCATCCGGCGATGACAGCTGCCTCCGCATACGTCACGATTCTGTAACTGAATCTCAAGACTGACCAGGTGTACACTATTGGCAGCATTTTTATTTTGTACTTTATCGTACACTATTTGTTAAAAAGAAAAATTAACACAAAATTAAAACATTTATAAAACATTTTGGTTTGTGTAAAGGCATTTATTATAATTAATGAGCGGCATTTCCTATGTTTGAAAAATATCTTCCAGGAAAATAGTTTTGAGCCGGAAAATTTTTTATATTCCTTAAAATTGGGAAAATAATTTAATTGTTACATATTTAATTTACCAAACACTAATATTAAATTTTTAAATTTCTTGCAACAACTCAAGCATTTGTAGTCCAATTTACTCCTAACAAGTCGGACATGTTGTCCCGACCGACGGGTGCGGGTTTGTTAAGTTTGTATCGACTGCGGCAACATCTTGGATAATCGACTTGTAAAGTGAATTTAAATAAAAATTTTATCAGAATGTCCTAGGAACAATACAATAGTGATTGTAACTTATTTCGGTTTTGTTCTGCAATTTCCTACAAACTTGGTTTTGTTTGTAAATTAAATTTGATTAAATCCTATGATTCCTATTTAATTGATTATTAAAAAAGTTTCTATCTAAATTATTCAATAAAACTATAAATTTTTATGTATTTACAAATATATATATTGTTTTCACATGTTTTAGGTTATAATTCGAGATCTGTTTTACATTTGAATTAACTTATAACTTATCACTACTGCTACGACATTTTGTTCATATAGATTAAATTGTGTATGATGTAATAATCTTTTAAATTTAGTTAACAATTATGTGGTGTTTAATTATGTGCTCAAAATGTGAACACAATATTCAGAATATTATTAGTAGAAACAATATATTCCTATGTATTTTTTAAATTGAATTTTTAAAGGATTGTTAAATCAATATAATTTTCAATTGATTGCAAATTTAGCCACATTTCGATCAACTTTTGGGACATTAGTGTCAAAACAATGACAAGTTTTTTGCTTTTGGTCCACAATTGAAAACAATTAAAATTTTGAATTTCAATGAAAGTGTAGACAAAAAGTCAATTCAGAAATGGATGCAAATGTGTGTGAAATTGCAATTATTAAAAGTCTATTCCCAATCCATACTAACCTTACAATTGGTTACCGAAAGCCGAGTTTAAACGACTCAATAGTATTGAAATATTTCTAGAAGTTTCGACCGAAGATATGACAGCATTGGATGTGTTTGCGGACAAATACGGGCATTAAATGATGACAATTGTATTGACTGTTTGTGGTTTCGGTGGCAATCAATTCATACCAGAAGTGGTCAATATTCTGGTCAATAGTTTGGTACGAATGCAGGCATTGCTTGACCTCACGCTTCGGATCAAAACTACTTCCTCTCAAAAGTTGATCCCTTTGTACACAAAAATTGGTATCAATTGTCAAAATCTGAAGAGACTTAGCGTTAATGCCTATGAATTAACGCCACAATTGATTCATACGATTACTAGACATTTTTGCCACCTATCACGTCTGGAAGTGTCGGCATTTATTAACCACACAAAGACAGTCCTAACTAGGGTTGGCAATATGACAAACCATGTATTTTACGTATGTAATTTACTATGTATTATACATGTATTTTACATGCACAGATTTTTCATTTTGTAAAATACATCATTAAAAAAATTTATTGGTAAAATTATTTAAATATTTTTACAAAATTTGTGTAAAATGTTTGCACACTTGTTATTTGTTTATTATTGTAAAAATAATCATTAATTAAAATGAGTAAATAATAGCCACAATCAATTATTTGGAACTATTTTACAAAAACCGATGATAAAAATTGCTGCAATTTAGTCAAAAATCAATTAATAGACCAGATTCAATTGTCGAATGTGAAATAATTAGTGATTAAAATGTTATAAATGTATAATTAATGTCATAATTGCAATAAAAATGTTCAATTTTGAGGGAATAAAATACGTTATTTTTCCCCCATAGTAAGTAAAATGACAAGTATATTACGTGCATTTTTGTATTTTACAATGTAAATTACATGGCCTCAAAAAAATCCTTGTAATTTACCAACCTTAGTCCTAACCACTCATTCATTGGCGCCATTGAAACGATTAACTCATTTAAAACTAAATCTCTACGATAACGATGAGTACTATTTTACGGACCAATTTTTCGCCAATTTTTACCAAATGTTCAGTATTTGGACGTAAAGTATGTGAAGATTACCGACCAGTCGTTGATATCATTGTCTGGATTGAGACAAATCCGTGGCATTACTCTCACCGCAGATACTGAACACTGGGAACAAGATATCAATGAAATGTCGATCAATAAACTGATTACTAATTGTCCCAAAATATGTTTCATTCGTTTAGAAACATTATTTCCAGTGAATTCCACTATTCTTTCTATCGTTTAATTAGTTTTAGTATTACATTCAATATCTCAACACTTTATCCTTAATCCCATGTCTTTACTGTACACTAATGTATGAATACATTCACTAAACATTTTATTTCATTATACTGTAATTACAATTAATTTACTTTTCACTTTTGAATTAATAATAGCATTTATCTTAAAATATTAATAAATTAAATTGTTAAATTAATAAAATAAAAGCTAACAAGTTATAAAACAAGATAGCGTACGAGTTATTATTTAAAAATTAATATTAAAAATGTGAATATTTTCTATTCAATAAAAATTGACATTTAAGTATAATGATTTTATTTAAATTCAATTAATTTATAAAATGTTATTCAATTATATGAAAAATACTAATCACTACTCTATAGTGTATTATCTATAAGACTTAAGTTATATTTTCTATATTAAATATATTTTAATAGCATTTATCTTAAAATATTAATAAATTAAATTGTTAAATTAATAAAATAAAAGCTAACAAGTTATAAAACAAGATAGCGTACGAGTTATTATTTAAAAATTAATATTAAAAATGTGAATATTTTCATTCAATAAAAATTGACATTTAAGTATAATGATTTTATTTAAATTCAATTAATTTATAAAATGTTATTCAATTATATGAAAAATACTAATCACTACTCTATAGTGTATTATCTATAAGACTTAAGTTATATTTTCTATATTAAATATATTTTTAATTTAATAAAATAAATGTTTATAAATAGGTTTTTATTGTAAATTTCTTAAATAATTGTGATAAATAATTTATTTAATTGTTCACAAATACTAATATTAATAATAATAATTTAATCATTATAATTAATTAATTAATAATTACTTTGTTTTGCGAACCAAAATCTCATAGAAAACTGAGTTATTATTAGATTTAAGTTTATTTAAAACTTTATTGAAATCCAAATGATTAGTGATAAGAGTCCTATCAATGGACCACTCGTTGTGTTTGGCCAACACTTCCCGACACTCAGGCCTTAGTCTATAAACAGTTGCCATCATTTCCTGAATTATGTGATACAGACATAGCATCGATGTCTTAATCGCCGATTCTTTAGCTTCAAATGATTGGGAACTAAAAAAATCAATAAATAATATAAATGTAAACTTAAATGTAATAAATGTGTTGTTATAATACCCCTGGAGATCAATATTAAACAACTTCTCGGCGATGATATGTAAGCTATAAATATCTGATTTGTGATTATATTTTTTGCCTAAAATCACTTCCGGAGCCATATATCCAAAAGTACCGCAAACTGAGTGCTCGTAACGGCTCTCAGTGTGTCGTTTCGGGTCGTGAACTGTAGCCAAACCAAAGTCGCATAGTTTTACACAACGATTGCACTTAAAGTTGGGATCAATTAATATGTTGTCGGGTTTGAGATCCCGATGAATGACTGGCGGATCAGATGAGTGCAGATATTCAACACTCTCTAAGATTTTTTTGAATATTTCGCATGAAATAAAAAACTCAAAGACATTCATCTCTTCTTCCGGTTGTCTCTCGAAGACAATGGGTTTGTCTTTGAGAACAGATTTGAGATTTTGTGAACAGAACTCCATTTGAATGAAGAGATGATTGAACTCAAGCCATGAGTTGTAATATTTGACCACAAAATTTGAGTCCAGTTTTGCCAAACTTTTCACTTCTGTTAAAACTTTTTGTTTCTTATCTTCATTAAAATCTGTGGAAATATTTAATGAAATATTTTTAAAATTGCAAATCATTTAAACAAATATTAAATATATTTACCCCCAAATTGTACTCTTTTAACGGCATATATCTTATCATTCAATCTATGCTTTACTTTAAATACAGTCCCAAAACCACCCGAACCTATAGCTGACACCTCAATAAATTGCGTTTTATAGTTACCATCACATAAAGTACCATGTTTGTCTGAATGCTGTTTGTCATTTGTAACATGAACACAATATTAATAAACTTATTATAATTAAAATTAACATCACTTGCTCTCAAAAGCTATAATACCTCTGCTATGACTGGCCATCAGTTGTATTGGTTTGGCTTTGGTTTCATTATTACTAATTATTAGTTGACTTATCACTGATTTCTTTCAAATCAATTGTATTATAAGTTATTTGGTATTCATTGGCGTAAAAGTCGATAAAATTATTATAATTTGTATCAATTATTTTGTGTTCTTTTGATATTTTATATATTTTATCGTTTATTAAAACACAAAAGAATTCATTATATTTCCAATGAATTGATGAATTCATTTGTGAACATTTTTGAAAGTGATATTCAGATTGAATTTGTTTCGGACTTTTTTCAAACATTTCTGTATTGTTTACAGATTTTCCACAAAAAAATAAACCATTTGTTGTCACAAAATATACTCTAAAACGACTAAAACTGATTGTTTTCACATTATTTATATTTGATATTAATCGGGGTTTTATTACTCTATTATCGTTTATATTATGTCCCAATCTATGGCTACTATTATTACCCCAACTGAAGACATGTCCATCACATGTGATGACAATTGAAGACCAATCAAAACAATAAATGGATTGTATTTTATGATTATCATTGAATTGTATTTCAATCGGTGTATAAATATCTTCACCATTTCCACAACCAATTTGTCCCAAACTATTCCAACCCCAGGCATAGACCCGGCCATCACTTGTGAGGACCAAAGTGTGATGAGACCCACAACTGATTTGTTGGATGTTTTTATTATTATTATTAAAATATGATATAATCTCTGGTTTATAAGCAGTTTGTATTTGATTATCGGTTATTTTATTCCGTGCCAATTGTCCATGCTCATTACTCCCAAAGCCATATATTATATTTATATCATTCACTGCTAACACAAATTCATATCCATTGACAAAGTATTGTATACTTTGATGACATAATTCTGGAATCAGTTGTGGCGATAGTATAGGACTGTTGTGTCCAAAACCCAGACATCCATTACAATTACGACCCAAACCATAGACCATATCATCATTTGTCACAAATAATACATTATTGTCATTATTGTCATTATTAAAAATATGTATTTTTGTAATATTTTGTCTAATATTTGTCGGGATATTATGACAAACTGGAAACTTATCTATAAGTTTAGACATTTTAACAAACATTTAAATGCAATCACAAAACTTAATTACAAAATACAATTTACAACAAACATTAAATAAATTATAAATAAATTATCTTAATATAATTAAAAAAATACAAAGAAATGAATCGTTTTATTGTTATAATCAGTGAAAACTATTGGAGACATGAATTTAATAACTAAAGTATTTCATGCAATAACTGATAATAACTATAGTTATTATAATAATGATAATAATTTTATTTAACATTAAGCAATGAAATACATAACTTGTCGTATCCATAAAATAGTGGCATAGATTTACATACAATGTAATGTAAATTGATTTTATATGTGAAGAATATAAACTACATTCTTCAAATATGAATTGTGGTTAAAAATTATTGTCTGTATTAAAACATTGTCGTAAATAATAGATAATTAGAAATACAGATCAAAATAAATTGCGAGAATTCATAGCTATCGATGGGAAACATATCATAACAATAGTAAGCGATCTTCGGTTTAGACGACAATCTCTCGGCAAATGCCATCACTTTTAGCCGTTCGGTGAGTGATAAGGAGTAGCGGTTTCGTTGGCGCCGGTGTCGGCACAGGTATGACATTAAGAGGGGATACTGTTTGTGGGCCGACCTCGGGATCGATGAAAACCATATAAATATCATAAGAAAAAGACTCGCATTAACTAATATTACATTAAAAAATACAAAACTTATGATAAATGTTGAGTTTCTATGGTATACAGAATATATTGAGAGCTCAATACTGTTGATTCCGATAACGTACAAAATAAATATACTCAAACACATGGTTGTATTCAAACGGCTGACCCATAGCTCGTAGTAGTGGTGCTCATCGATCGCACCCAATATTAACCGCTTATTATCGCGCGAAACGCCG